TCCTACAAAAATTTGATCATTATTTTTAGCACTAGTCATCCTGATTGGGATCCACTTCTCACTGGTTGCTTTGTGTTTTTGTATATTTTACCTTCTTATTTCGAGGTTTTGGCTACTTATCTTGTGCCTCAGGCTTCACGTAAGTAAAATTTTAGACTGATTTCAATCTTTTGCGTCAACTTATTTAGTTACATTGAAGATTCAACTATATCTGTTAACTGATATTATCATCCCTTTTAAAACTTCGACAGTTAACCTTGTGGTTTTTTATTAATCGTTTTTCAGTCCGTTGACGGGTTCTTTATGAATGTACTGGTATTAAATAGTTTCTGCTCTTTTTTATGTCCTCGTCTAGAAGGAACTACGTAGGTAGGTCATAAAGTACCCATAGTCTTGTTGGCCTTTTCCTCTAGTGCCAGTTTACTGTTGTTAGACTTCGCAGTTGATTTGTATCTAAAACTTGGGTTCGTTTGAATATCCTACGGCATTATGCAGATTTTCTTTAATAAGCAGCGTCGATTAAATCTAGAGCCATGATTCAGCGCTGTTATCATCTCCCTTGAAGTAGCTAAATGCGGACAACTTTTGCAGCCTATCTTCGCCGCATTTTTCCTTTCTTCACGTTCCATCACATGACATATGTCATCAGTATGACTATAATTTTCAAATCTCAGATTTTTCTGGTATTCACTATCCGACTGACACGATGGACATTTAGATCTAATGAGTCAGACAAGAACTGTCGAAATTTTCATTTCTAACCAATAAGATAACGCTCAGTAGAGTGTGAAACATTTGAATATCTCCAATATGGATATTGCTTATAGCATTGGAGGATTTTCGTTCATCGAGTTTTGAGCCAGTCCGAGATATTTACATTGTTGGGCAAGGCAAACGGTTCGAAGTGGCATGCGTACCGCCCCACGGATATCCGACGCCTTTCGTGTACTGGAGCAAAGCCGGAAAGGCGCTCGAAAGCGAGGGACGTATAAGGTGAGTTAAGGAAGACTATGCTTTAATCGTTCTGTTCGTCGTACAGCGATCATTTTTAGGGCTACTACAGACTACTCATTAATCATCGACTCCGCTAGACCTGACGACAAAGGATCATACGATTGCATAGCAGAGAATGTTGCTGGCGTGAAGAAAGGCACTCTGTACATTCATGTGTCCAGTAGGTGAATTGATTGGCTAACAGTTTTCTTATAATGTTGCACGCTGCTCTGTTCATATTTCTCTTTAAAGTGATCAAACTCAGTTCACTTTTTGTAATCGGAAACATCTCCGTCAAGTGGGCAATTCGCCCAACCTGCTTCACTATGGCGTCGTTAGCTGTCTGTTTCAAGAACAATGATTGGTCGTTGCGAAAATCGTTGCGGCTGGGGAGAATGGACTCAATCGTAGTTCACGCTGCCAAACAATCTTTTACGTTGGACATTGCCCGGTTCTCACGACTCAGATGGGAAAGTGGACCTTGAGGAGCTGTTGCCTGCCTACAGCATCAATATTATCACATTTAATACCGCTGGAGGCATCACTGATCAAACGAACGTCCTCGATTACTGCTAAATCATAAGTATCGTTATTACTGTGATCATTATCAGCGAGTTCGGTTATGTACGTTTCTAAGTGTCAGTTTCAAGTCACATCAAAATTTGACTGATAAAATAGTTGACTTGTTAGTTGCTTCTCCAGATTGAGAAGTCACAGCTGCGATGGCTTGGGCATGTGTTGCGAATGCCTCCAGAAAGG